GTGGTCCCAGATTGAAGAGGGTGAAGGCCAGGCTGAGGGACCCCCCCCTCCTGTGCATGAATTTTGTGCACTGGGCCTCTAGTATCTACATTAATATTTGAAATCCTTCTGCATGGCATATTGGTCTATTCATTTATTTATTTAGTCATTTATTTTTATCGTAATGAGTTTATAAATATTTATTTTATGCTTTAGGTAATAGTCCAATGCTACCTTATTGATTGATTGATTGATTGATTGATTGATTTAGTTTTGCTCAAATTGTTCTAGATTTGGCCACTGAGAGATTTTTCAGTTGGCTTTCTTCATCCTTTTGAAATATCCTCTGTGTGTGTGTGTGTGTGTGAGCATTTTCTTTCTGGCAATACCAGATGCTCTAGACATCTTGTATATTTTCTACCTCAGTCCAAGAATCAGTCATTTCCAAGTTTTTTTGTGGAAAAATGGTATTACAAATTAAGGAGAGAGTGGTAGTTGTGTTCTTTTAAGGAGAGAGTGGTAGTTGTGTTCTTTGCTATTGGGGTGTCATTGTGTTTAAGTCCTCTCAGCTGCCAACTCTAATACATTGCACAAATGTACAAAGCAATCTGCTTAATTTTTTGAACTTGAGATAGTTGGTTAGGAAGAAACGCAATCTAAAAGTTGAAATCTAAACTTCGACCCATTGGGTATGATTGTAGAATTACTTCTAACGGTATTTGAAGAAATATCATTTTTCCCAGGATGAATTAAATTTTTGCAATGACTTTCAGTTTTGAAAGAGACTAATACCATTACCAAATATAAGTTGAGAATACAAAATGCATTAAGTTCAGTGCAAATGAAGATAAACACAACATGCAGTGCTGTGTGTGTGTGTGTGTGTGTGTGTGTATTGATGGATATAAGGATGTACTTCAACAGATGGATGGTGAAACAAAAGTGCCTTTGGCGTGAGACACTAAAGTCTTTAGAATTCCTACAAGTTATGGTTCCGAGTTGCCCACCTCCCAACCATAATGAGATTAACCCTTTAGGAGTGTAAGACAAGTTGGGCATAGTGTCCTGCCTGCCTACACTTGATCCATTTGAGTATCTTCTGAACATCTCAAATGCAGACTCTACTGCTGAGACTTTGAATAGGAGGAAAAGAATTACTTTTATTCATGAAAATACAATCCTTAGCTTTCTCCCCTTTCCTCTAACCAACTCATTTAAAGCTAAAATATTTTTCTTAAATATTTTAAGATTATTATGACCACCTGATGTTTGTAGGCAAATTAGCTATAATTTCACACTGAAGTTGCTAAAGGACCGGATCATTATAAACGTCTGAATAGCACAACATACCTAAGTATCATTGCTGATTAAGTTCATCCTATCATGTTGATGGCGAATGAAGTACTGATAGGCTGGTCATAATAATCTGGCCACTCAGTGTAGATATGTAATGTGTTTTAGAATTGTTAATCTCTATGCCCATACGAAAAATGTTTATCAACTATAGTACAGTTATTATGCACAGTTCCTTTTGCTTTTGGTCTTTTAGAGTGCACTTATTTTCAGTTACTCAGATCAGCACCTTATTCTTTTGTAAGTTGTTTTAGACATTTGTAATGCATTTAGATTTTTTAGATTATTTTTTAGTATTTTGCCTTTCATCCTGGAATTCTCTAACCATCTAATTTATTTTTTCATTTGAATATATCAACATTTACTCTGTAATGTGAAGTTCCATGGGTTTTGACAAATGCTTAATGTCTTGTATTTACCATTATAATACCATGCAGAATAGTTTTACCTCCTTAAAAGATCCCCATGCTTTACCTATTCAACTCTCTAACCCTCTCCAAAACTCCTGGAAAATTCTGCCTTTTTTAAATTCTAAATTGGGACTAAATATCTCCAGAGGTAACCATCACAATCAAGGGATGTTTCTCTCATAAAGGAATTGATTGGTGGATTGATTGATTGATTTTAGAGAGAGAGGAGAAGGAGAGAGAGAGAGAGAGAGAGAGAGAGAGAGAGAGAGAGAAAGATGGATTTGTTGTTCTACTTATTTATGCACTCATTGGTTAATTCTTGTATGTGCCCTGACTGGATATGGAACCTGCAACCTTGGCCTATTGGGATGATGCTCCAACCAACTGAGCTACCCCACCAGGGCCATAAAGGAATTTTTTTAAACAAATGCTTTCTGATGTAGTGTTTCTTAGTGATCAGGGCTTGTGAGCCTTTATTTTTTAGATTTGTTTTCAGTTACTGTTGGTATCTACACTAATAAAAGACAAACATGCAAATTGACCGTACCTTCACTATACCTTAAGCCACGCCCACCAGCCAATCAGAGCGGCTATATGCAAATTAACCCAAACAAGATGGCGGCCGGCAGCATTGGAGCTGGAGCAAGCAGGAGGCTTGGTTGCCCCAATGATGGCGGAAGCCAAGCTTCCCACTTCCATGGCAGGCTCTGAGCTCCACTCAAAGC